ACAAAACCAAATTATTACAATTTTGTCAATGTGTGACTCTTTACTTACGCCCTGGGAATGTGCTGCAAATAAATAGTCTAATTTAAAAAGAAACAAACTAACAGACATAATACAACGCTGGGGAGACTGGCTTTGTGTCACTTTTGAGAATAAACCACACTCTTCGTTTTTAGTTTGTAGTAAGGGTTTTACGTCACTTGCAACACAATAAGGTCATATAAGTGCCGAAGATTAAAGGTGTTTGAAGAAAGTAACAATCACAAAAACAAGAACGAAGGGAGATAAAGATATAGACGTTTGATAGGAAAAAAGAAGCAAACCACACCAGAGCACCCGACAACCACCCACACACACTCTTCAAACCTCAGCGATTGAAACAAAGTAGCTTCAATACCGCAAAGAATATGATGGGGTCGGATTTTCATGATTTTTGAGCAAAGACATTAAATAAAATTGTAGTCTTCGATCGCAAAATATTGTTTAATCACTCCAGAATTGAGTCATTGCTCTTCAGTTCCACTTATATAAAGTTATATAGTGTGTTCGACTGCTGTTCAGCATTGATACAAAGCTGAACCCTTCAAAATCAAACCTGAATCATTAAAACATATTAAATTACATGACCTTCGAGTTGCAAGTGCCGTAAAACTCTTACCCAAAAGTCACCGTACAGTATTTCAGACACGTGAACAGACAAGGCGAAAACTGGCAAGCGCTCGCAATAATCCCTCCGATAATACGTTTTGAGGGCAATTCGGCATGATTAGATGTTTTAGAACTGTAAACAAAGACGCAGTAGTGCAGTTCGGCCACTTTTGAGATACCCTGTAAGATTTAATGCATCGGGTTTGAGGGGTTTTTTTTAGTAGAGATTTTACGGCACTCGTAACTGCATAAGGTCATATGAGCGCCAAAAGATTAGAGGCATTTCAAGAGAATAACAAACATAAAAAAAGAAGAAGGGGAGATAAGGATGATAGATGTTTGATAGGAAAGAAGAAGCAAACCACACCAGAGCACCCGCCAACCACCCACTCATCGGGTTTACGTAATACACAATTTTAAAAATGTATTGTTAAAACAATAATGTGATTAGTTTTTGTTTTGATTTAGTATGATTTTTTTCGGCACTTACAACTCAACAGAGTCACATAAGGGCCAACAAATTTATAGGTGTTACACGAGAGTAATAATAATTTTTTTTAAGGGGGTGATAAGGATGGCTACAAAAAAAAACGTTCTTAAAAATGACAATAGATGTTCGATAAGAAAGAAGGACCAAACCACAGCAAAGTACCCGCCAAACATCCACAAATGGTTAGCTTAGGATAACCCCTTCATCTCCCCCCTCCACCCCAACCCTCTCCCCGAAAAAAAAGTTTAAAAAAAGAAATAATGATAGTCCACAATAATGTTGTTGAAAGAGAAGGACAACACTTGGAAGACGTGCGTTGTTTTCCGTGGCAGGAGTGGATTTTGTCGTCTTGGGCTACTTGGAGGGCAGACAGAGCTGAAACCGTTTCCATCTAAGTCCCCCCCATAAATCCAGATCCACAGAATGTTAACGACTCATGTTACTTGCTTTAAAGGGGGGCATCAGTGTGATAATTATACGTTTAAAGCCTATTACAGTCGTTTACACTCTTGTTGGTGGGGTGTTTTTTGTTTTCTTGTTTTTTGTTGTTTTTTTGCTTTTGTTTGTTGTTGCTTTGTTGTTTTCTTTGGAGCACGCAAAATTAAGCTATTTGTTTGCTTCTTTGTTTCAGAGAAATGGGCCACAGTAACAAAAAAAATACTATAAGTGCAATTCCTCGCCAGGCAAAAAACACATCTTAATAGACAGACATAAAAAAGCGCAACGGGTTGCATTAAAGAGAAGACTTTTGAAGGTTTCCAAGTAAATAGTTTCTCTCTTTACATCCCCTTTTGTGTTAGAAAAAATATTTCGATCCTTAAGGGTCACCGCGAAGAAGAACTAAACACAACTTGTTTAGTTTTAATAAGAGTTTCACAGAACTCTGCAACACGATAAGGTCACATGAGTGCCGAATATTAGGGGTGTTTCCAAAAAAACACAAAAAGGAGGCGAGATAAAGAGGGTAGTTGTGTAAAAGGAAAGGAGGAGCAAACCACACCAGAGCACCCATCCAACCACACACGGTGGTAAGCACTGTTACATTAAAATTTAATAAATAGAGACGACAATGCTTTTGTTTTAATGTTCTTCGGTCATCGTCTGATCTTCTTCTTCTTCAGGTATCAGAGGTGGAGTAGACATTGGCGGTCATGTCACCCCATTCCTTCACGTTGTCTGTCTTTTTCATCAGCTCGGTTTTTGTCTTTGAAAATTCGTTATAAAGTTATCCAGGCCATCTGTGTATGTTGTTCTTTGTCTTCCACTATTCTTCTTTCCTTCTATCTTTTCACATAGCAGCAGTTTCTCTTGCATATTTGATGTATTTATAAGGCCAAAGTATCTCAATTTTATTTCTTTGATGGTTCTGATTATAGATCTCTCACAAGCCGCAAAAAAAACACTTCTCTATTATATCGCTCGATACTGATATCTTACTTTTAGCTGTCATCTTGTTTGATTATTCATATTTTGTACTCCTTTATCAACGCACTTATGATATTTTAGGAGGCGGGCTGCATTGGCATTGCATTAGGAGATAAACTCGGGCAGTTTGGGAATTTATAACTCCAAACAACGGGTGGTTGGTTGGTGCTCTGTTTGGTTTTTTTAACCTGGTTTGTTATAAAAATTATATAGTCCTTTTCTCTCCTCCTCCTTTTCTTTGTTTGCTGCTCTTTAGTAACTCTTATCATCAGCACAAATATATCCTCTTTGTGTTAAGCAAAACTCTTACTAAATCTGAAACTAAACCCAGTAAAAGAGACAGAGGTAGGTGGTCGATGAAGCATTTTCCTCAAATTAGAATTTAAATCCCTGCCTTTTACAGGCCTGGCGAAGAGGATTAAGAACCACTCGGAATTTCGTTTAATTATGATCTTTCTTAGCTTCGGTCTGTCTGGAGTATATTAATAACACCCCCCGCCCCCTTTTTTTTGTTTTGTTTTCGCAGTCGTTTCATTTTTTCAAAAAATGTGCTTTAGTTTGTTGTGTGGGTGGTTGGCGGATGCTCTGGTGTGGTTTGCTTCTTCTTTCCTATCAAACATCTGTCGTCCTTATCTCTCAATAAACTTGATATTAACGAGTTTTTCTAAGATTTCATCATTTGAAAAATAACAGCATGCGAAATGAATTGTCTTAGAAAAACATAAAATATATATCACAAGAAGAGACAGACAAAGACAGGAATACATCAGACATCAAGAGGGCGTCAAATCGAGCAGGAAATATATTATACATCGAAAGACAACAAATTTGATGGTTTGGACCCGAAATCGAAATGAGAATGGGGACATAACAGCCAGCCATTAAGGCCTACAATATGTGTTGCGATGGCTTCAAGGCAAAAGGAAGACCAAGAAAATGATTGATCGACAGACCCAAAGAGACCCCTTAAATGAACATCTCGACGATCCAAAACAGCAACACACCTGGCCCACGCCCGAAAACCTATCTCTTCTTGACACCTCTTGGTTTAGAAGGACAGAAAAAGGGGGAAAAGTAAGTTTTTTTTTGTTTCAGTAAGAGCTTCACGGCACATGCAATACAATAAGGTCATATAAGTGCTGAAGATTAGAGGTGCTACAAGAGAGTAAATTTTTTTTTTTAATTTAAAAAAGAAGGAGGGGAGATAAAGACGATAGATGTTTGATAGGAAAGAAGAAGCAAACTACACCAGCGTGTGGTTGGCGGATGCTCTGGCGTGGTTTGCTTCTTCTTTCCTATCCTACATCTGTCGTCCTTATCTCTCCTCCTTTTTTATGGCATCGGTGGCGTAGTGGTTAGGCTCTCGGACTCGCAACCGTAAGGTCGTGGGTTCGAATCGCGTCAGGGGCCCAACGTTGTGTCTTGCGAAAGGCACTTTGCATAAATTTTCCTCACTTCACCCAGGCAGAAATGGGTACCCGGCTACAGACAGTGAACGATCTAGTCAGTTTGATAGTGTTTGAGCGCGTGAAATCCGCAGCTTGCACTGTATACTTCTGCGGAAGCCAAGAATGTTTCCGAGTGTTCTCAGAGGGTCTGCTGGGGCAATAATAGTTGTATAGCGCACAGAGCATACTTTTGAGCATGGATATGCGCTATATAAATGCAATTATTATTATTATGTTTGTTACTTTCTTGTAACACCTCTAATCTTTGTCACTTATGACCTTATTGTTTTGCAACTTCCGTAAAACACTTACTAAAATTAAAAACAACACCAGAGCACCCGCAAACCACCCACAAAGTAAAAGTAAGTTTTAGTTTTAGTTTAGTATGGGGTTTTACGGCGCTCGCAACTGCATAATGTCAAAATTAAAAGTAAGTTCACCGTATTCACACCTAAGCTTCTCAATCTCAACTCGTTGACGTTTTCCTAGAAGCTCACTTCAAAGAGTATCGAACATTATGATTCTTTTTCTTATGCACAATTGAAGCATACTATATATAATATGAGTATTTGTCCGAGTACCAACTTATTAGGCATACGATTAAAATCAGGCAATATTATATCGTGCTCCGTCATAGTGTCAACGTAATTGTGTTCGTGAATTTCCGTAAAACTAGAGAGCATAATCACTGTTCGTGAGAACTCTTTTTTGAAACCGAGTCCAGACAAACCTTTGAACTTGTCGTGTCCTTAATATAACTTAATATGACAGAATTGTATTCACCCAGTATGATTAACCTTCGTTCGCTTCAGTGTGATTTTGTCGTGTGTGTGCGTGTGTGTGCGTGTG